TGATTCAACTCGTATGTTTGCAGAATGCCTAAAAGTCCATCAAGAGTCATCGTATGAATTTTCTCCAACTCCTCAAATCCAGCAACTTTGGGTGAAAATATTTTTGGAATTGTTCGAAACATCTTGTTCACCAATTTTCTCTCATCATAAACCAATCCAAGCATATGAACTCAATTTACAATATATTTAAATCGGGTACTATAATAAAAAATAGTCTCCTCATCCTTCATCTTTAACCCATCAAATTGGCTCTCAATCATTTGCAATTTTGTGGCTCGCACATCTTCAGAACCTTTAAGGGTTACTTGCAAGGCATCCCAAGCGGCTTTGGCGGCAATGTATGTGGATATAATTTTGAATTGAGATTCATTCACTCTATTGAAAATAGCATTCAAATTTTTTGAGTTTGCATTTGATTTCACCTTCTCAATTGTAGTGTATTATGACTTCGGCTTGAGAAATATTTGTGGGGAAAGATGAACATTATCTCTAGCTTTGTTAGCAACAATTCTAGTTGGAGGTTCTCATCCCGTTTCAACTGCACCCATGCATCATCATTGATCGACATGATAAAATCCTCATCTTTGTTTTTAAATAATGATAATTGAAACCATCAAGTAGTTGGGTCGGCATATTGAGCTTCGGTCTCTCGATATGCTTTCTCCTTTGATCTCACCTCAGTATGTCGAAGTGCTCGCTCTGGCACAAATTGAAAACTACAGAGAAAACGGATCTGGGCGCACAACGGAAGATATATCAAGGATAATGTGTGCACTCAAGTCTGTATTTTGTACGTCATTTAGATATAAGCAAATAATCACACACAAACCACAAAAAATAATGACAGGCGGAATACACGATTTGTTCATCCAGTGTGGTTCAACTATGACCTATATCTGGGGGTACCAGCCCAGGATTTGTCCACTATGAAGAAAGATTCCGGTACAATAGTTTTTGCAAGTCAATAAATATCAACAACCACACAACCCTATCGGTAAGAATCGTGACCAACCTGTCACCAGTGATTGAGTTTCGTCCGCATCAGACACATATCACTTACAACGCATCCCCTTACCCAACTTATGATCTTGATTGCGTCTCTATTCAAAAACCTTATTGATGAATCCAGTGAAGTCTAGAACCGATCTAAACTTGTTCTCCAAGATTCCACCATAAAATTTCTTCAAAGATGCATGAAAATCTCCAAGAAAATAAAGAATTGTGCGGAAGAAAAACTCACCAGGATTTACCAAAAAAAAAAAATCAACAATTCTCCCAATAATTGTATTGATTTTTTTTTCTCTCACTATTTTTTTCTCTAAGATCATATTCACTTCGATCTCTATCTCTTTTCATGTCTCCAAATCTCCCATATAATCCATCTCACCTGAAAAGGTCTATATGGATAAAGCATCAATACGAATAAAGATTATCCATATTTGACTTCATAATTTACTCAATCAATCCCCAAAACAATCTATATCTATCTCCAATCTTATCCGAAATTCAAACAAAAAAAAAATATCTGCAATTATTTTATCGAATAATATATATTATCCAAAATATATTCTAACAATAAGTAATTAAGAAGTGTATTAGTAAAAATAATTATATGTTAAGATTAATATAACTAAACAATTTAATTAAGATTCAAAATTTTTTAAATTATACAATTTAAAATGTGATTAAAGTGTATAATTATTTTTTTTAAAAAAAAAGAAATGACTAATTATGTGGGACAGATCAAAATAAAAAAAAAATGAACATTTAATGTGAGACGAAGGGAATATAATCAAATTTAAAGAAAACCTATTAATTTAATTGTTAAAGAAACTTTACATTACGATACACTAAAATTTACACTGCAATTAGTGCGTCATGTATGGGGCAACACAATTTAATAATTGAGTCAGGTTAAGGTCTACATTTTCGATCTGAAAATAATCCGTCAAACCTGTTTAATTAATATCATTTTAAATTTAAATATATTTTTAAAATTTTATCAATACAATTCAATATTTATGACCAATTTTATAAAAATAAACAATAAAAAATAAAGGATTGTGTTGTGTACTATTATTTAGTGTTTGTTAATTCAATTCTTGAATATCGGTTTCATGATAGAAATAAATAATTTTTTGCTTTACTATGTATATATATTATGCATTTGAAAAATTTTTTAGTATAAATTTTAATTTTAAATTAAAACTGAAAATTTTAAATTTAAACGGGTTATATAAGTCAGATTCAGGTTGACCTGATTTAATTAAATGTGTCAGGTTCAGGTCAAGGGTTTTGTAACTTGTTTAAGTTGACCCGAACCTAATCCCGACCCGACCTGATCCGTTTGTCAGCTCTAGTGAGAATTCATAATTCGGTCATGAAAACACTCACATCATTGTGATAAAACTATGAATATTAGCCTCCAAAACATTCAATGTAGCATGTTGTTTACAAAATGTTACTCCCTCCGTCTCACATAATTTGTTCCTATTTTTTTATTTTTGTTCGTCCCACATAATTTTTTTTTTTTTTTGGGAAATATGATTATACACTTTAATCACATTTTAAATTTTATATTTTATAATTTTTTTCATCTTAATTGAACTATTTAGTTATCTTAATCTTAATTTATAATTATTTTTATTATATAATAATTATTTTTACTAATACACTTCTTAATTATTTACTAATTATACTTTACCTAAATTCTCGTATCTACAGTAATAGTCTCATATTACCTGAGATTGAGGGATTATAAATTTGTCCGATTGATAAAGTAGAAGCTCGGAAAAACAAAAAATTCATTCAATACAATTTGTTTCGTAGCGGCGAATCCAATAATTATATATATATACATACATATATATATATTAAGTATAATCATCATTGAGGTAAATAGCAATAGGCTAACAAAATAACAATCAAATACAAACTATCTTAAGTAAAAATAAAAACAAGGTGATAGATATAAAATCAATAGCCCACCTTGAACAAATGTATCCTTCAATTCTTGGTGCAAATTTACTTAGTAAGAATCTTAAATATTTGCAAAACCATCACCGGACCAACATTTATAGGTTCAAATATTCGACGCCTCAGGTCACCTGCCACATATGATTCGCCTAGTGTGACTTTCCCGTCGAGTATGGTTTTCAGAGTATTAAGTTTGACTGCGGGTTTCCATGTCATAAAAAAAAAATAGCAGCGTTGTGAGAAACTAAACTATTAATTTGACTAGCGAAGCGGACTTCATCACAACATCAATTTTTAATATTTATTGCATTATTCTTTTTGTTACGTTATTATTTGCATAATAATTGTATTTAAGTATGATATTTCATAATTTTTGAAATTGTTACAAAAAAAATAAAATAAAACCTTAATAAATAAACCAAAAAAAGCTTGCTAATATCAATGATTATTAATCACGATGAAATTGGCGGCAAATATTAACATTTGCTACAAAGGTATGACTCCTTTAGGCAATATTTTAAAATCAAATATATTATTTTAAGTTAAATATTTGACTTTTCGTAATGAGTATTTAAAAAAAAAAATCAATTTTTTTTGTATTATTTTTAAAAATTGCAAGTAAAAATAGCTTTAGGAGATTAGAGCCGATTATCATGGTCACCAATTGCCACAAAAAATAAAGTGTATTTATTTGTGGATTTGAGTTTTTTGATTTAGATTTTTAAATAGTAAAAAGTTGAATTTGAATAGTTATTTGATACGATCTAAATAGATGTTGATTTGATGTTTGAAATATAAAATAAATTTATAATATAATATAAGAAAAAAGTTAACGTTTGATTGAGTAGTAAAATATATGGTAAAACTCATAATGAACATAGTAATTTTATTTATTTATTTATTTGTTTTCAGTAGTGTTTATTCGATATTTTATCCAATTGATAAATATATAAGGCTAAATTGCACTTATATTCACTTGTGGTTTTACAACATTGCGCGAAATTCTTCGTATTTTAAAACCTGTGTCAATTTCTCTCGTAGTTTCATAAACTCAGCTTCTAATTCCCTTGGTCGTACTTATTTAACTATGTTTGACATACACGCGCTCAAACTGCGAATGAATTTCATAATACTAATTTCTCAACTCGTATAAATATATTCATTTTTTTATATTTATTTAACCTAAAAAAAAACATTAAAAAGAACTTTAAAAATCAGATAAAAATAAGTATTTTTTAAGTATATTTACTGTTTTCTAAGGTTAAATATACTAATAATGAGTATTATTTGTAATTTCAAGGATTTATAAATGAAGATTTTAAAATTTATTCACATTTTAAGCACGTGTATGTCAAACACTGTTATATAAGAATGGTCGAGGAAGTTAGACGCAGAGTTTATAACATCACGAAAGAATTTGACACAATTTTAAAAGTATAGGAGGTTTTGAGCAATTTTGTAAAAGCATGAGTGAATTTTATGTCATTTAACCAATATATAATACTCCCCCTTCCCATTGAAAGGTTACAATTTTTTATTTCCGTTCGTTTCAAAATAAGGTTACAATTTCTTAATTTAGTAATTGTACTTACCCACCTAATATAATAAATGTCATTCTAACTTACACTATATTACACAAAATGTCATTACTTTTATATTACATAATACTAATTGGGGTATTTTCGTCTTTTTCACTATAATCTATTGTCATTCAAATCTATACTCACTTTTATTTTTGGGTTGTCATCGAAAAATATTCTTGTTTTTTTTTTTAAGTAAAAAATCATTACACTTTTGTATTTTTTTTTACTATAAAAAAAAATAACAATTATTACTCACTTTTATTAGAATTCGTATTAATATCCTGTCAAATGAGCACATATTTGCACGACGGAGAGAGAGTATAATATTAATATTTATCTACGTGCAAAAAATAAAACGGGTGAGAGAGTATATAAATAAAATCAACTGTATGTATAGCTAACAAGCTATATGGTTACAATTGAAGACAAAATTAAATTTTATATATTCATAACTGCTACTGAACTAGCATTTATTTTGGCTAAACCCAATCACCCTATTCACCAAATCGTACGTGACACGTGTCCCCTGCTGCTGAACATTCCCGATGATCGCCGTCGGCCCCGTCGTCTCCGCCACCGCAAAGCAGAACCGCCCGCCGTGATCCACCGGAACCAAATAATTCCTCGCCGGCAACGACAGCTTCTGCCCGTTCGAGAACTCAAACCCAAACGTCGGCACGTCCGCCGTCTTCATCCTCGAAAAATCATAACACGTGTCGAACAAAGCAACTCCGGCCGCCGGCGGCAGGTGCGCCGCCATGCTCCGGAAGGCGTCTCTGATCACGGCGTAGGTCTCCGGGTGGAACCGAGTCACCGACGTGCCGGAGTCGACGATCACGCCGCCCCACCCGCTCTCCTCGATTTCGAACATCGATTTCGGAATCGCCACCGGCCGGCCGCCGATTAGGATTCCGGCGAGGCCGATGTAAAAGTAGCTGAGTATAGGGTGTCGGACCATCGGCGCCACCACCGAGTCCGGCGGCGCGGCGGAGTTGAAGTCGAGAGTCGACACCGATTGGGAATCGCGGTTTACCAGACAGTACGAAAACGACGTCGCTTTGATCTGCGCCGTCACCGACAACGGCCCGTTGTCGACGGCGATCAGCCCCGCCGAGCTCGAGAACAGTCCTTCGTTGTCGTTGCCGCAGCCGAACGTCAGATTGGCGACGGTGCCGGTGGCTCCGAAGGTGAAAGTGTCCGCCGATAAATGTCCGACGGTGGCGGAGCCGTCGCCGTAGTGTATTTGGTAGAGGCAATTTCCGGCGACGCTGCAGCGGGTGATTCCGGCGGCGCTGCAAGTCGGGGATCGGCAAGGGATGACCCGGTAGGTGGTGGATCGGGTCGGGTTGAAAATCGGGTCGGTTTGCGGGTAGCAATTGATGCAGGGCTTGCACTGAATCCAGCTGATGTCGCTGCCGGTGTCGAGGATGAGGTAATATTCCGCCGCCGGCCGGCCGATTCCGACTCTGGCGAAATACTCGCCGCTGCCGAAACTGACGCCGGAGATGAGCGGCGATCGGAGCTGCTGCTCAGGCTGCCGCCGGCACTGCAAATTTCTGTAATAACTTGCAGAATGGGAACGGGAATGGCGGTTCCGGCGGTGGCGGGGCTGATCGCCGGCGAGACCGCCGGAGAAGCGGGAGCGGACGTGGGATTCGTCGCGGGCGAGGCGGGCGAGGGAGAGGGCGGTGTAGTTGCCGCCGTGGGAGTCGGCGAACGGGAGAGAGTAGCGAGGGTGGATAGTGAAGCTGAAGGACGGAGGCGCGTCGCCGGCGGCGGAGTGGTTTCCGGCGAGGGAGCTGAGCTGTTCGGCGTAGGGTTGAGATGATTTTGCGGAGAAAACCTCTCGCGTCATCTTTAGAGAAGAAGATATGTCGAGAATTTGGAAGCCATGATTAGTATGATCTTGTGAGGAGGCAGAAGCTGTGATGAAGATCAGGAAAGAAAGGAGAAGGAGGGTTTGGGGGATTTGGGAATCCGCCATTGTTGATTGGGTGTTGTTTCTGAGAAACCCTAATTGGGGGAATGAATAACCACGATCCTCCACTGTTGTTATATATATATATATAATTAAAAATTATTATTTTTTATTAATTAATTAATTAAAATATGTCTTTGATTCCTTAATTATGATTCTTGCAATTTGCAAAAAGTTTCTTGGTCGATGAGATCGTGAGAGAGGAAAATGTTTTGGGTTGGGTTGGGTTGGTAGTACATAAAAATAGATAAATATTAATTTCTTTTATCTACTAACTTATGTGCATTTGAGCTAAATACTCAATCCGTCGGTTATATTTACATTTTGCGTCATTGTACTTAATATTAAAAATATTTTTATATTTGTATAAATTTTTATACAAATATCTTTCTATTAGTATTATAAAATACTCATTTTTGCAATTTTTTTTAATTAGTACTGTATTTGAGATAATAATTTATATTCAAATATCAACGTTAAAAAAACAAATGAAACCTTTAGAGTTTGACGGAGATAGTATAATAGGGTTTATTTCTTTTGACACCAAACTCAAGTTTTTACTATTTAAACTCTGCGTTTCTCGAAAAAAATACATTTTTTTTCTCAAAAAACATCACATCATACATTATTTTAATATCAAATCAAAATCAAACTTTTTTCAAATCCATCAAAAGAAACATATACTATATTAATTGATTTTAAAATAAATTAGTATTATTTCAAGAAATATAAGAGTGAATATTGTTGTATTAATAGAGTGAAAAATTAAATATTTGATAAATGAATATTATATTATATTATATCCGTCCGGTTACGAAGTAAACATTTAGAGTGTGTTTGTTTGTGGATTTTAATTTTTGAGTTTGGATTTTTTTAATAGTAAAAAGTTGAATTTGATGTGATATAAACAGAGGTTGATGTGATAATTTGAATGTAAAATAAATTTGTAGTATAATATAAAAAAAGAAAAGTAACTATTTGATGTAATATTTTTAGAAGAAAAAAAAAAGAATTTAAATAGTAAAAACTTATAATAAAATCCACAAAAGAACACAACCATATTTTTTGGTGCGAAATTTAAGAAATAATAATATTTTAATTGGAGTTAGTAATTAAAAATAATATAATGATATTTTTGCTCTTATTTTTTAGGTGTAAAAGTAATGATATGACGTAAAATAAAGATATTTGTAAAAGAAGTTAGATCTTTAATGAAATAATTACTTTGTAATTGGACAACCTAAAATAGAAATATATATACTTTCTAACTAGACTGATAGAGTATAAATAAAAGAATGTATAAAAATACTCCATCCGTTCGCCTTTAGGAGTCTCATTTACTTTTTGTGTCATTATACTTAACATTAAAAATGTCTTTATATTTGTATAATTTTTTGCATAAATGTCATTATAATAGTATTATAAGACACTAATAAGAGTATTTTTTTCATTTTTTCTTAATTTATACTATATTTTCATTTAATAACTAATATTCAAATATCAATACGTAAAAAGTAAATAAGAGTATTAAAGCCGTATAATTTTAATTTTTATGTCATATACTGCTTTATTTAAGACAATATATATTAACAATTCATATTTTATAAAGCATATTGTATAAACATATTTTATATGTGTTACATGGATATTTGTTATTTGCTATTAATTTATGTATTGTATTTTGTTAAATTATAAAATTCAACTTAGGGTGTGTTTGTTTGAGGGTTTGGATTTTGAGTTGGAATTTGAATAGTAAAAATTTTGAATTTGAATAGTTATATGATGTGATATAAATAGAATTTGATGTGATGTTTTGAATGTAAAATTGATTTTTAGTATAATATAAAAAATAAAAAATAGGTATTTGATTTGATATTTTTGGAGGAAAAAAATAGAATGAATAGTAGAAGTCGACCAAAATCATTCGAACAAAGACACCCAAATATTGAAGATTGTAATGTAGTTTGGTTCATAGGTTGTCCTAAGTATAGTGTAATAAATTAGGATTTGTTTAATTGTGTTAAGAGGACGGCTATATGAAGTAGGGTTTAAGGCCGGTAAAACTCCATTAATTAACTAAGATTGTATTTAAATACTTGCTCTGTCTGTCTCATATTTATATATTCATTTGTTTTTACACGAAATTTTAGAAATATTAATATTATATTAAAATAAAGTAGAAATAAAAGTAAAAAAATTTAATCAACCCTATTAGTATTGTATGATATAAAGGTAATGATATTTGTGTAATATATTGTAAATTGGAAGGGTATTTGTAATGTTAGGTAGATGGTACAATTACTAAAAAAAAATGAATACTTTGTTATGAGATTGATTAAAATAAAAAAAAAAAAATTGTTAAGGGACGGAAGGAGTATATTTTAAAATTTTGAGAGCTCTAAAATAATCAAAATTATACTTCCTCTGTTTATTTTCTAATGTCTTATTTGATATTTATACGCATTTTTAGACAACTAGATTTTTTTGTTATAAAATGACAAATTTGTCCTTAAGTTTGTGTATAAAAAAGAAAAAAATAAATAAAGTAAGAATAAAAAAGTAAATTTTGTGTATTAAAATAAAAATAAAACAATAATTGTTGGACATTCTAAATAAGAAAATAAATAATTAATTTTTGGACAGAGTGAGTAGTATATATAAAACAGATATAAATATATATTGAATATGGTTATTTAATAAAAAATTAGGTTTGTTTTGCGGTGTTTTTTTTTTTTTTTTAAATAATAATTTCTTCTTCTTATTTTATTATTCATATCATATTATATATATATATTTTCTATTTAATATAGTACATAGAATTATTTATTTTTTATTTAAAATAACAAGTCAAGTGTCTATTTATATCATATCAATAATTTAAATTTTTTATTATTCTAAAATGCTAAAAACACACAAAAATACAACCAAATTAAACATATTTGAATTTTTGATGAAAAGTTTTAAATTATAAAATAGATATTTAAATGAATTAAAAGTGATAAATGATTTGTTGAAACTCAACCAAGGCCATAGTTTAGCAAGTCTCATTGACAATTTATTGTTATTTTGTTGTAATTAAAAAAGTATAATTGTATTTTTACATAAGACACAAATAATGACGTCGAACTAATTATGAAATTACTTTTCACTAAATCTTAAAAATACTAACAATACCACTTATAAATTAGACAGTTACGGGTGTCAATCTCCAATTTAGCTACGAAATCTCAAATCAATACGTGCGTAATAATCAATTTAAGATTTCTAAACTTATAAATTAGAAGAATTAAAAATACTCAGTATCGATGAACACTAAATTAAAACAAAATCAAGTCTCACAAATTCAATCCCAAACATAAATTCACACCTACGCTAGAAAGGAAATTACTCGAAACTCATAGGAATTGAAAACACAAAACAAATAAAGAAGTTCATCATGCCTTCAATTTCGAAATCGACAAAAAGAAGAACAATACGAAGATAGAAGAAGAACGCCCTGAAAAAATTGTCTGCAATCCTCTTCCAAGTTCTCCTCTCCTCCGTCGTGTTTTTCCTTCTTTCCCTTCAAATAATATGGTGTCGTGGTAGAGAACGTGATAGTCCCATTCTCTTCTCCTCTTCAATTGAAAAAATCGTGTCTTTTCAGCTCCATCCCAAAATCCCCGTTAAATAGATCCCCTTTGCACTTCAATCCTTACATACTCTTTATATTGTTAATTTACTTCGGAGGGCCTTTTTGTAAATTTCACATTTCTCATATTGGTTGCGACATCAAAACTCCTCAAACCCCAACCAAACCCAAACACAAAAGAAACAATAAAATCCAAACTCATTCCAAAATTCAAATAAAAATCAAACTCAAACCCAATTTTTCCCCGAACTCCCCTAACTAAAAATACCTTAGTCATTCTCTCTCTCAATTATACAAACACACTCACGGTCTGCACATATTCAAACACACGTGTGTGTATATATATATATATATATATTAATATAATACTATTTCTGTACCATTTAATATGATGTATTTTGTTTGAGTACGAAAATTTAGATAGTATAGACTAGTTATTTAATTATTTTATGTAATAAAAGTATATTATAGATTGATTAATTTTTTTTAAAAAAATATGTGTTTAAATATTTTTAATATTATATTTCAATAAAATATACTACTTTTGTCTGACTTTGAGGATCTCATTTATTTTTTGAGTGTTGATATTTGAATATTAACTATCATATCAAAATACAGTACAAGTTAAAAAAAAATTGAAAAAATATTTCCATTAGTATCTTATAATACTAATAGAAGAATATTTGTACAAAAAATTATATAAATATAAGGATATTTTTAATGTTAAGTACAATGACACAAAAGTAAATGTGACCTTAGAGGCTGACAGATGGAGTATAGAATATGAATATCATTTTTTTTTAGAGAATAAAATTTTATATAATACAAATAAATAAAAAAAATATATTTATTTGTTTATTTATATTTACCATAAATTAATTTTATAAAAAAAATTGAAGTTTTAAAAATAGATAAAAATATTTGTTAATTGAGGAGAAAGATAAAATAAATAGATATTAAATAGATTTTGAATGAGTCGTAATAGGTTATATGTTTAATTGAATTAATTTATATTTATTAATTGTGTTTAAGATTGATAAACTTGTTAAAGATAAAAATGAGTCACTCTTTTATAAGACAGATAAAATAAAAAAATAAATCATCTGTGACAGGACAAAAATAGTTTATATCTATACTTTGGGTTTGTTCACATAAATATTTTTTATTATTACGATTATTTTATTAAAAATATACAATATATACATAACATATGCCTCCTTTGTCCTTCATAATTGAGTTAGATTTTTTTTTTAATTATTTTTATTGTTCATTAAATTTATTTACATTTTATTTAAATAAAATATTTTATCCACTCACAATTTTATTAACACTATTTTAACAAATACTTCATCAGCTATTAATTTTTTTTACCTACGTGACTATTTTTTTTATTAAATATTTAATAAATTTATCATAATAACTCAATTTTATTTTATTTTTTATCTACTTCACTCTTATATTACAATAAAGTAAATAAATAATATATTTTTATTATATAAATGTACATATATATTAATTATAATAATTTTAAAAAATATCCGGTTCGGGTCCGGGTCCGGGTTGGGGCGGATTTTTAGTAAAATCCGTAACCTGCCCTGAACCGGGCCGAATTTAAAATTTTAAATCCACAACCTGCCCAGAAACATATTATTTATACCCGAACTCGCCCCATTAAAAACGAGTCCGGGGCTAATCCGCCCCATATGACATCCCTAATCATATATATTATTGTAATTATTATGTATATATATTACATCTAATTTCTATTTATATTCATTATTATTATATTATATGTCTTAGTATATATTATTGTAATATATCACATAACATTTTAATATTATCTATATATGTATAATACTTTTGTATTTTATTAAAAAAATATTCTGTATAATAGATATATAATTTGAGTATTGTTTCAATAGAAAACTAATTTACAATCAATAATTTTGATATAAATATATACTACATTCCTCCACAAAAATAGAATTAGTAAAAAATAAAATGTGAAATTATGAAAAATTTATTAAAAGATAGATAAAAAAAGACAATTGGATTAAAAAAAAATGATAAATTAATTATTATTTGTTAAATTAAAAATACTAAAATCTTAGATTAATAAAATTATGTATGATAAATGAATAATATATCAATTTAATGTTAAAAAAAAAAAAAGCAACAATGTCATAACCCTCAAAATTTTCCATTTTTGTTTGTTTGGACCAAATATTACAAATTTAATCATATTAAATATCGAAGATTGCATTTTTATTATTGGAAAATGATATTATGTTAATATTTATTGAAAAATTAATACAATTGTCATAATATATGATCAAAATATATTGAGGATCCATGGTTATTATTCATAGGTCACATTAAATATGATTATCAAACTACATATTCAGCTGATTTTGTTTAGAAAATAATAGTAAATTATATTAATTAGAAAACCTACAATTTCATATATATATATGTGTATGTATACATTCATCGAATGTGTGTTTGTTCTCAATAATTTTATCAAGAACAAAGTGAGATTTGTGATTGAAAATGGGAGGAAATGCGAGTATATCTTTTCTTGTTTTGATAGTGATCTTTCAAGTGTGTAACGCCGAGGTGTATAAAGTCGGGGATGCCGCCGGTTGGACGACTATCTGTTCACCCGACTACAAAGCTTGGGCGGCCTCGAAAAAATTTAAAGTTGGCGACTCTCTGTGTAAGTAAAAAATTTCATCATTTTTGTTTATAAAAAGTGGTTTAATTGGCGTGGAATTAAATTTATTATCATAAGATCATGAATTCAAAACCCCAAACACATCTCTTGCAGAAAAAATTCGTCGTTTTATTTACATGAATTCTATATTTAGAAGAAAACGATGGTTGATTTTGAAGATATTTGATATTTTTAGTTGAATTTTTATATCATAGTAACCGTTTTAAACTATTGATTTATATACGAGGACAAGTTTGGTAAAGTTGAAAATTAAATTCAAGTATAAATTAGTGAATTGCATATAGCACAAGTGAAATACAACTACAAAATTGTTCAATGCAATTTTTTTTATATATATTTTAAATAATTACTCAAAAATCCCTAAATTCCTAAACTATAAAAGAAAATAGTGCGGATTTTTCAAATTACATGTAATTATAATCAAGTCTATATTTCGAACCAAGATCTGGTCTTATGACTTATATACTAAAGTTTATTATTTTTTCTATGTGCATACAAGTGTTTCAATACAACAAACAATTTCACAATGTTAATCAAGTGACGCCTAAGAACTACGACGCTTGCAATGCATCGGGGGCTAGTCAAACATGGGTTAGCGGCAATGACACACTGGCCATTACCAAGCCCGGGAAATATTACTTCATATGTGGTACGCCCGGACACTGCCAAAAGGGTCAAAAGGTCGCAATAACGGTGGCCTAAACATCGAGAATAGTCCTTTTTATCTTGCTTTGATATTTCTGAGTACTTGATGATGGATCATCATCGATGTAAAAATAAATCTATATTGAAGCTTATGATCAAATGCATTTTGACATCAATAATCGTATTAGAAATGCAGATATTCTCCCAGCATCATAATACAATTTCCAAAAAATAATAATAAAAAGCACACCTTGTAAGTGTAATTATGTGAAATTTCATTTTCGTTTTATTATTCAACTTTTTTCTTTTTCCTCCAAAACATCAGATCAAATATTTATTTTTTTATTTATTATATTACACATAAATTAAATTTTATATTCAAAATATCACATCAATACATATTTATATTACATCAAACAACTATTTCAATTCAAAATTTTATTATACAAAAGTCAAAAATTCAAAATACTCATTATAAAAAGTTAAAAAAGTCATTACAAAAAAAAAAATCAAATATTCAAAGCTAAAATAATACTTCTCTCCGTCCCATTAACAATCTATGCATTTTTCTATTTTGGTCCGTCTCGTAACAAAGTATCAATTTCTATTTTTAGTAACTATACTATCTACTTACATTACAAATATCTTTTCAATTTACAATATATTATACAAATGCCATTTATGTCATATAATTTAGTATTTTTACTTTTATTTCTATTATATTCCAATATAATACTAATATTTCTAAAACTCCATGCAAACAAACAGATAGATATGGGACATATGGTGTGTATTTTATATTTTTAAGTCATTCTCAATACCACACGCCAAAAACTTTTTCATCAGAAAAAGCTGAGTGAACGGAGCCTATTACAATGTTTGCTTTCATTTTTACCATCATTCTCCGTTATTTCCTCTTATAACATATTTAAAAATAATAAAAATAAATATTTTTGATAATATTTTCACAAAATCTCAATAATAATAACAAAACTCAACTCAAAAATAAAAAAAATAAATAAAAATAAAAAACATTACTAAAAGAACACAATATTGTGAATGGTATAACAATTTACTCAAAATATTAACATAATTATTTCAGTCATAAGACACATAACAAATCGATAGGCTACAACACAAAGTGTTAATTCAAAGTTCAAATGATTCAAGCAAAAAAAAAAAAACATTAAATTAAATTAAATTAAAATTGAACTTCTCATGTTTCATAAGTTCACCGCAAATATCGAGTGGCAAAACATTAAACTATCAAAACTCGATGCCGACAACAATAGAGACAAGATTATGATTTTCTTTTTTAGACACAAGTATTGGTATTAATTCTAATTTCTTCATAGATCATGTTGAAATTCAAATAGAAAAAATTTGAATAGTTCTTACTGGTTACAATACCGGGAGGGACTTCGCGCTGTTTACGAAAGTTGCGCTTTTGTTGAAGCCATCTTGCACAAGAATTCGAACAGCTTCCAATCCATTTTGAAACATGAAGTCCAACTAAAAAGTAGAATGAAAAATCGTTATAATAATTACATATTCGCATTACTAAGCTAGTTTAATTCTTTCCATACCTCGTCGCGCTCGTCTCTGGTAAAAGTGCGTAGCACAAAGCTTGCAGGATCCATTTTCCCCGGAGGCCTTCCAATGCCTAACAATATCGGATCGATGATTCATAATGTATTGTGAGATGATAAGAATAGTGATCTAATCATGTGTGTTACCTATCCTTAAGCGAGGAAAATCCCGACTGCCTTTCAAGTGGTTTATGATGCTCTTCATCCTGCGAACACACTCAATTTAGAGCACTATCAGCACATTGCTATAGGAAACACACATTTTTTCCTTTTACTTTATTTTATTTTTTAAACTAATCTAGAATATTTTACAAAAATTAAATAGCCTGCTTGTACATCTTTGATTGATCTTGAATTAGATCGTACAATATCTCATAAATTCAAGAGGAATGTTGCCTTCTATAACATTGTATCATGCAACATGTAACGATTTTTTGAACACCACATATTCACCAAGTAAACTTGTAAACATACACAAACACACACACAAGTAATAAAAAAGTAAAGGCAAAATTGCCCAAGACTCCCCGTAAATCCCCTTGTATTTTAAAAGTTGCATGACGTCCCTTTATACTTTAAAAAATATTGCATGAAATCCCCCGCCATATAAAAAAAAGTAGATGGAAAATCATCTTCTCATTATACAAAAAAAGTAAAAAAAGGTACTTTTTTAAAATATAAGGAGGTCCCATACAATTTTTAAAGTACAGGGAATTTACGCTCGAAACTACAGGGGAGTCTTGGGCAACTTTTCCAAATGTAAATGCATATCAACTCAAATGGGCATTTTATCAACAATTTCTATTTAACGAGACAACTTTATTGCATATCTACATAATTAGTTCCTTAACCCCGACAGTACCCCTGAATGTGCATGTTGGAAAAAAAAAATCTCTAAAATCCGTAGCTAATTTACAATAAGATGCTTTAAAAGAGATCAACACAAGAAACTGAGTTAGAAAAACAGTACATACCCATTATGTCCGCCATGTCCACCTTTAGGTAAAAGTCGCAACTTGGCAAAAGGCAAATCCATGTCATCAAACATCTAAAAATGTGGCAATCTTTTAGCCATCTTCATACCTTTAACGGAGTTATATAATAGTTGCAAATTATTGAAGATATCTTACCACCAGAACTTGCTCCAATGGAATTTTGTAATATGAAACGATAGCACCAACCTGGTAAAGTGATTAAATAGCTCAGCAACCCATCGTATAAATATATGTAAACAAATCCCACGTTTAGATGAGCCCACTTACAGACTCACCACTAGCATTCATATATGTCTGTGGTTTAGCCAGCATAACAGGGATATCATTGATGAAACCTAACCACAGTTAAATAATATAAATAGAATCAGAGAACTGTAATGTTACACAATAAATACAAATTACAATATGTTATCGTAATGGACACTATGTCAAGTGAAGTATAAATCAAGATACAAGTCTGACGAACACCAATTGAAACTATATTAAGAGATTTCGTACACCAACTAACTTAACCTCATTTTATGCAACCAAACCAAATATATAGTATAGTTTCAAACTCCGATTAAATGTTTGCACAAAGAATCAACTTAACTAATAAAATGATTGCATTAAGCAATAAATGTGCAAACCAAATAATGAATTACTCAATTACACTATTTTTGCCCACCAACATGTTCCAAGGAAAATGAAACATGACTATTCCTACTCTAACATCTAATTGGCATTTGAGTTATAAAGCTAAAGCTACAGAATTAATAGCACAAAGTAAAATTTTCGATCTGCTGAAGCTTTATTTAGTTAGCCGATACCAAATGGAACATGACTCAATCATATTATATCATGATGTTCAGATTTACAAGATTATAGAATAAAAAGAGAAAAATTACTGACACATAAATTAACTGATTCAACCATTTGTTCTACATCCACATAAGAAAATTACTGATACCAAAATTAAATGATTATAGGATGAATCAGTAACTAGTAACCATGGAAGTGAATGTGAAATAGAAGTAAGTGTTCCGCAACTAACATCGAAACATCTGTTCTCAGTTAATGAATGCCACAATATCAATTCATAGCCATAGTTCTCAGCATTGAGTCCATTATCATTCTATCACATGCTGTGTTTAGCACAAAAACTGATTATCTACAAAATTATACTACAGGGAAACAACTTCAAAGCTAAAATTACAATTTACAGCCAAATAAGATATATATATATATATGTATATATTAATCAGGAACCCTAAAAAGGTAGAACAGAACAATCGCATACAAACCTTTTCCAAACGAAGATTTGAAGGAGACGCTACTCATAGCTATCCCTTCCGCGTCCGCTATGAAATCTAGCAACTCAAACCCTACCTGCAAACAACTTCAATCAAAATTCAAAACCACTCCAAACAATTTCGACGCATAAATACAACACACGATGCGCGAACCAACATTGTGGCGAGTGCTCGCGTAGCGTTTCCCAGGGTTCCCGAGGCCGACGAGGAGCCAGGGTTTCCGCTTTTCTTCAGCCACAGTGGAAATCGAAGCCATCGGCTTCAACCTTGACAATGTAAACACCGAATTATTGATGGAATTCCAGCGGCGCCCGTAGGAGACAGAGGAGAAGGAATCCGGTAAACGACGGCTCCGCCCAATCACCGCCGCCGCCGCCGCCGATAGGGCGTACATTATTTCACTCCGATTTGGTGAGACGGCTTACGCCACACGGATAACTACTTGCAGAAGAGAAAAAATTAATTAAATTAAATTAATAAATATAAAAAGAAAAATAATTAAATAAAAAAATCGCCGTTGCGGGGATCGAACCCGGGTCGTCCGCGTGACAGGCGGAAATACTCACCACTATACTACAACGACTGTTGTTATTATTGTATTGAGTGTTAGAAATATAACTAGTATAACAATTAAAATTTGTGTTCTCATTTAAATTTTTTACTCTATAATATTTTTTAATTCCAATTATTATTTTAATTTTAATTTTAATTTATATTATAAAATAATTATTTTTATTAATATATATTTAATTATTTACTAATTATACTTATTCTAAATTTTCAATAGTCCGATAGGTAGAACGTATAAAGTAATAAATAACGTAATGTAATTATTATTGTTGATGTTGTTGATAAATAAAATATACTCTCTCCGTCCCCAATCTATCTATCCATTTTGTTTATGTATGGGATTTTAGGAATATTAGTATTATATTAGGATAAAGTAGAAATAGAGGTAAAAAGACTAAATTAACCCTATTACTATTATATGATATAAAGGTAATGACATTTGTGTAATATATTGTAAATTAGAAGGGTATTTGTAATGTTAGGTAGATAGTACAATTACTAAAAATAAAACATATACACGGACCAAAATAAAAAAATAGATAAATTGTTAAGGGACGGATGAAGTATTATTTTTTCTTAAAAAATATTACATCCAAATAACTGTTTAAAATAAAAATCAAAACAAAAAAACAGAGACAAAAATCAAACATAAAGTAAACAAACTCTTGTATATCTAGATCAACATCTCATGTATAAGCATTTGCTATACTTTATAAATACAATAAAGTGATTGACAACATATGTCTTTTTATAAAAAAAGCATATCTCCTACTCCCTCCGTCCGCCTCTGAGGATGACATTGACCTTTATTTAACATTAAAAATATCTTTATATTTTGTATAATTTTTTTTTAATAATGTTCTTCTATTAATATTATAAAACACTACTGAAATTATTTTTGCGATTTTTTCTTAATTTGTATTATATTTTGATATACTCCATCCGTCCCAATTAGAGCTGTCAAAATGAATTGAGCTCGTCGGGTTGGCCCGCCCCGCCTTACTTTTAAGGAGGGTTGGGTTGTGATTTTTCAAGCTGGTTAAAATGCGAACCTAAATGGGCTAACCCGCGTGGGCTGCGAGTTGAGGGTGGGTTAGCTCGCGGGCCAATTAAATATAATAATTAGTACTCACATGTGTAACTAAAAAAATTTTTTTACCATTTTTTACTGTCACGTTAAAAAATATAATAAAATTAATTAAATATTAATATCACAATATATTTTAATTTTATATAAATTATAAATATATCATTTAAAAAGTATCAAAATCATCTTGTACACTTTATTCGTTTTTCTTCTGTTATCCATGTCACTGTTGTTTGTTTCGATTTTTTATCATTTGTTTTGTTCGTCTTCCATTTTATAATTTCATAATTTTACAAATTCATAAAATTAATTATAATTTATTTTTAAAATGGAGTATTTCTTATTATTAATTTTTTAAATATACTAACTAATAATATTTAGAATTGAAAATTTTTATATTTATTATTTATTTTAAAATTTTTATTTTTAATTATTTTTAAATATTAATTACGAAAATATTTATAATATTAATATCATTTTAATATTTTTAAAAAGCCCGTGGACTAGCCTGCTTAGCTCGCCACCCGCCAGTGGGTTGGGTTGGGCTGATGAAATTTTGATCTGCCTCGCCGTGGGTTGGCCCGCAAACAACCCGCTTATTTGCGGGTTAGGGTAGGTTGTGGGCCAATCCGCCCCACTAACCCGTCTTGACAAGTCTAGTTCCAATACAATAGTCTTGTTTACTATTTTTGTCCGTTCCAAAATAATAGTCTTATTTCTATAAATAATCGTATCACCATAAAACTACTCCTATTTTTTTTTTTTTTTATTACATAATTGTCACTATTTTTTACACTAATAAACTCCAAGAGTAAAAACAAAAGTCTTTTATCTACATTTTTCACCAACAAGGAGTAATAATTAATATTCAAAAATTAATATGCAAAAAGTAAATGAGACTCTAAGCCGTAAGCCAGAGGAAGTAGTATTTGAATTCAACATATACAATTGAAGATAACTACAATAGAAATCAGTATGAAGCTAATAAAATGTCCTCGTACACACAAATATCTGTGACTAAATAATTCTCTATTTGATAACCACGTCATAACTGTAGAACAAGAAATCGACATACCAAGCTTGCAGGAAAATAACGGAATTTCTTGTACAAATGTCCTTCTATTAATATTATAAACGGGATTTCTTGTTCATATAAAATTTTCACCATATGAATGCTGGTAAACATCATCTACCGAACATATACTAATTTAAGAATTACTGATAACTATAAAACCTGGATCGTTTTGGCGCTGTTTACATAGGTTGCACTTTTGTTGAAACCATCTTTCACAAGAATTCGAACGGCCTCCAATCCATTTTGGAATGTGAAGTCCAACTGGAAAATGAGAAATGGTAACTACGAAATATTGATCAAGATTTTAATAGATAAATGAATTATTCTCATACCTCTTCTCGTTCTTCTCTGTTAAAGCGCCTCAAAACAAAGCTTGTAGGAAAAAGTATTCCCGGAGGTCTTCCGATGCCTAGCAAAAGATTAGGATTGGTTTGGAAACACTTTAGATTTTGGAATGGTGGTAGAATACAGATTTGATCATGGGAAATACCTATACGTAAGCGAGGGAAATCCCGGGAACCTTTCAAGTGGTTTATAATGCTCCTCATCCTAAAAGAGGTGTAGATTCAGATGTGTATAGGAAAACTACAAGTTGTGACATGTCAATAGTGAAAACACATGACAATTCAAGAAAATAGAAGATCTTTGATGAAATAGTTCTCAAATTTAACTAATAAACTAAGAAAGGAGAGGTAAAGGAACAAAAACTTTTCAAGCTTCCCTTGGTAAGATTTTCAAGTATTCATGAAAAACAATTCATCGTTGTGACTTGTGACCTTTTAACCAGAAGTATGAAGCTCAACAAATATTCTACTTCCTGAAAAGTGTCAACTTGTTCGAAAAAACTTATATAGAACATGTTTTTATGCTTCTCTAAGGCTAATAAGTGGTGATACATAATATAGACAATTAAGCCCCTTGAATGTTTGGTGAAAGGCCTGAAGAGATTTCAAGACATTTAGGTTGCTTAGTAATATAAACGCACACAGTCATAGTAACTAAAATAAATCTAATAACACAAAAATTCACACGCAGTTTCTTTTAAAAGAACACAAAATTCAACTTCTTTTAAAATAAGTTAAGCCCCGTTCGGTTGGCGAGATTTGTCTTAAAGGTATTTCAATAAACTCCATTAAATTCATTAGTTTTGTTTGGCAACACCGCGCACTTTCAAATCTTGAAAAGTTGGTTGTTGATTTAAAATCTAGTCCTTTAATATTCAAATACTCTTTACACTGCCATTTCAAGTACTTCCTACAGCCAATGATAAATTTTAATTATGAAGTATTTTAAATGTGAAATAATTCAAATCAATTCATTTAGAATTAACTCTCAATCCAAATCTATCAAACCAAATAAGGCCTCAATAAATTTATTAAAATTTCTATCAAACAAAATGGATCCTTTTTAATATATAGGTGTGTGTGTGTGCGGGCATGCATGCATGCTCCAGAAAGGAAACTCGCTGTAATTCTCCAAATATCCAACTTGTTCAAAGCAGTCTAAACATCCCAACAAACCGAACTAGTAGACGGAAATAGTACATACCCATTATGCCCTCCATGTCCACCTTTAGGTAAAAGTCGCAACTTCGCGAAAGGCAGGTCCATGTTATCATAAATCTGAAAATAAGAGCAAATGAAGAAATAGATAATTACAAGTCTGAAATAAGAAAAAAAAATTAGTTATTATTGTAGTGTCCAAAAAGTGATTCACGTCATCATACATATGCAAATACGGGAGTGTTTGTACAGATTTTTGAAGGCATTTACCACAAGAACCTGCTCCAATGGAATCTTATAATGCGACACAATAGCACCAACCTGTCAACACGAGTGAATAGCGTTGTCATTGATTAGTTAATTACGTAGTCAGTAAAAGATTTGCAGTTTAGTTTGTCGATGCAGCAACTTACAGACTCACCACCAGCATTCATGAATGTCTGTGGTTCAGCGAGCATGACTGGAATATCATTAATGAAGCCTAATCACATAATCGGAAGAGAAAAAGAATGGGAGAGTGTAAAACAACCAACAAATGTAATATTTTTATACCTTAAAATTACACAACCAATATTTCCTAATAAGAAAAATTTTGCGGGAGTTGACGAAACTTCAAAATCACATTTCAGTAGCTTGCGAAACACAGGTGTACGACACATAAAACATACTTGTGGAGTAAAATTTGCAGCCACCATTCATCAGAGGTGCTCACAGTGTTTTTGACACAAAACAGAGGCTAACCAAAGGACGCAATATTAAATCATTGAAATAACCTTTTAATCTGAAACTCGAAAAATTTGTTGAAACTTATTGAATGATAAACAATGTATTCCATGTTATTTCCACAAATATGTAGCTAAATTATCTGTACATAAAGTTTCCGGAAAGATCTTGCTTTTATTTTTTCACAATTTTTTCCTATCCAATCTCTCATTTTCTGTACATGGATTTCACATCGAACATGAATTTTAACTTCAAAATCATCAAAACATAAACAAAAACAAAGACAAAAACACAATTACAAAAGAACTCGATACTATATAAAATAATCACACTATTATCTACAATGTAATTCTTTTGATATTCTCTTCTGAAGGAAAAAAACAAAACATGCTAATCATTCACAGAATACATTGAAAAGCTTGACCAATCAGAGAAAAGACAAATCAATATTGAAGTATACTAGACAACCTTCTCCAAATGAAGATTTGTAGCAGACACTTCTCATAGCTATCCCTTCCTTTTCAGCTATGAAATCCAACAACTCAAACCCTACCTGTGAGGCATCGAAGAACAAGCACAAAAACCTCAATAAATTTAATTACTCGACAAATCCACACATTAGATCAATATAAAGCGGAGCGATGCGCGATCTTACATTGTGGCGAGTGCCGCTGAAAAGTATCCCGGGGTTCCCAAGGCCAACAAGGAGCCATGGCTTCCGGTTTTCTTCAGCCTCAGCGGAAATTGAAGCCATCGCCCTATGCTGCGGGAGTGTAAAAGCTGAATTCTTGTAGGATTTCAACCAGCGCCTGGACGAAACGGAGAGAAACAAATCAGGGAAGAGACGGAGACGGGTACCGCCGATCGCCGGCGCTGAGGAAGAAGAACGAGGAAACAACACGGCGGCGGATATACCGTACATTTATCATCTCCGATTCGTATACCGACGCCACCCATAGGAACTAGACTTGTCCAACCGGTTCGGACCGAGCGGTTCGAACCGCCGGTTTCCGGTATCTAACCGGCTGTTCCGGTTGTTACAGTTCGGTTCCAATATTCTCTAACCCGTCAATCGTCCGGTTTTCCGTTCGATTTGGCAGTTTATAAAAAATAGTCTTACCAGTCAAGAGGAGAAAATTGAAATATAGAATAAAGAAATAGAAATAATGAGGAGAAAACCAAAAAGGGAGAAATTAATGTACGGAGTTGGAAGTAAAATTATTAGGGCAAAATTTTATAATGGGGTATGTTTTATAAAGAAAAATAATGGGAAAAAATAAAAAATAGTCCAATTGAAATAAAAAAAACAATTAAATTTAGTCCCAAGATTATGTTATAAATAATTTTAATTATTTTTAATTCTATGTTAAAAAAAATTAACGAAAAAACGTGTATATATATATATAAAATGTTAATAAATACATGGTCGTGTATATATAATCAGAATGGTCTCACCATACACACGACCGTATTTAATAAAGAACACGACGATGTGGCTGTGTTTGCCATGTATCGTACTGGAATCCGATGTTGGTGACAAAGGAAATGTTCATTATGTACTTCGGACGGCTGCTGTTCTCCTCGTAGGCGGCGCGGAGGTGGCCACTGAGGGTGTCGAGGCTGCCCCAGGCTTGCTTCACCGTCGAACCTCCCACGCTATCGCCGGCTCTTGCAGCTCCGCCGCTTTCTACCCCTCCCCTCTCGGTGAACATCGCCACCGTCCCCGATCGACTTCCACTTCCTCCTGAGCTTTGCCATCGATGTTAACCTTGGAGGAAACCCTAAGAACCGCTTCTCCTCGCCGTATTGGTCAGATACCTTGACTCCGGCCGCCGTCAAATCCCTCCGCACCAACATGAAAGTCGTTGCTAGTCTTTATGGTTGGAACCTCGCCGGAAAAATTCTCTCCTGATACAACTCCGCCGCGGTCCACCCCTGGATCACCGACGCTTTCTTTTCCCTTAAATCGCTTTTCCGAAGATACCACTTGACGGCATTGACATCGATTGCAAAAGATTCCTCCTGAACAACAACAATGCCACCGCCGGCGCCGCCGCCTTCGTGTACTGCGTCGGGGAGCTCATAACAATGCTGAAGAAGCAGAGCGTAATCATGGTGACGGCTATCGCGCCGTTCTACTCGACGATGACGAGGATATAATAGACTACGTAAATTAAAAATTTTACACAGACAAGGTGAGGCGGGCGGTGGAGTATTTGGAGGCATTCTGAAACCGGATGGTGGAGTTTGGCGGCGACGGGAAAGGTAAGCTTCTGGCAGGCTACGAGGTGAATGGAAGAGAGATACAAGGCGCTGAGGATGTTAGAGGACACTGAGTTTGTTATTAACGGGGCAATGATATTCCTCGCAGACGCTTCCATGTCCGGGTGGTTTTAGCGGAGTTTATTGAAAAAATATATATAAATCAAAACAGAATATATATATATATATATGTATATATCACGGCCGTATTTTATTGTGGACGACCGTGTTTTCTCCATGTCAGTTACTATATTATCCCATTAGGTCCACGACAATAATTTCTGTTAAAAATTTAATAGTGAGACCAAAATTTATTAGAATTATTTATAATATAATTAAAATTAATAATTTTTTTTTTATATTAAGACCAAAATTCATACATTTTAATTATATTTGAACTAATATTAATTTTTTCTATAAATAATATTTATAATTTAAATTATTATAATATAAAAAAAAAAAAAAAGAGTCTTCCACTAAGTAATTTCCACTTAACTCCCTACTATTATTATTATTATTATTTATTAACTTCCCATTTTAAATTAAAAATTCTTTTTAACTTTTATTATTATTAGAATTACTTAAATACTCTTACTATCTAAAAAGGCTTATATGCCCTTAATATACAAAATTCAAACAAACATAAAAAATAACAAAATTTCTCACCATTTGGACGCTTAGCAAATCCGCTCTATGTAGCTGTTCTGGTTTAGGTTTCCGTTGACTACTTATGGCTTTTCTCTCATCAACAACTCTCTATATTCAAAATCCTAAATTATTGGTAAATTTTTATACTATTTATTTATTGTTTATAAATGACTTATAGGGTTATTGTGTTTTAATAGTTTGTTGATTTTTTTTACCATAATATAGAAATATCAGGTGAAAAAAGTATATCTAGTATTCGTCTTGCTTGTAAGAATGACGTAAGTTATATATAACGTCAATAGAGTCAAATGCTAAATTGGTAGATATTTTTTTGAAATTAAAATGGAAATGAAAATACATTAATTTAACGAAACTTCAATATATGGCTCAAGTACAAAAGCTATTTGTCACTTTGGATTACGCCGAAGATGTTGCAAATATGATACGATGCATCTAGTTTGAAATTGATGATAGTTGATATGATAGTATTATCAAACAACGAGGCAATCCGTAGTTCAAATCCTTACCGGTATTGTTTATCCATCCATATATATTATATCTAGTTTATTAATATTTATAAATTTTACTAACTCACTCTTTTTCGAGCTGAGACATTGACATAAAATCCAAAAATTAAATAACAATTGTCAAATCGAAATCATTGAATTCCTTTTCTCGCTCTCTAACAGGAAACAACCAAAATTTTGAGGATGCCAATGATTTTCATATGACATTAAAAAATTATACTATTTCCACTCTCCGTTCTTTCAAGTATATAAAAAAAATATGACGACAAGAAGATCATTGTTATATGAAACAAAGAGAGTTGTGAATGGCGTATATATGATGCTTATCACGTAACAGAGGGGCTATTTTGCACCCGTAAGTCCAACATACAACATACATGCAGTGAAGATAATCTTCAAGATCGAGGCCATCTACGTGCCGACTCTCCATGGTAGCCAAGATCGTGAAAGAAAAGCTAAGGATAACTTCGTCGTATACGCCAACTAATATAGTAAAGGACATACAAGCTGACTACGGAGTTAAAATTAGTTGCAAGAATTCATGGTTAGCAAAAATCATTGTGGCTCAAAGTATACATGGTGTAGAAGGTCATAGCTTTGATAAATTACAATGTTATTGTAATACTGTAAAACAAACAAATCCAGGAAGCATCAGAGACTATGAGACAAAGCCAGTTTGTAATAAATTTCACCGCCTCTTCATTTGTTTCTATGAATGCCTAGTTGGATATGTCCGTGGATATAGACCGATTATTTTTTTTATGGAACGCACTCGAAGACAAAATATAAAGGTTGTAATCTAAGTGCAATTACAGTTGATCCTAATGATGACTTATTTACAATTGTCTTTACTAGTAAGTTGTTGCACACTTAATATTTTATCTAATTGTATATGTGTTCTATATTTATTCAACATTCTTGTGTATCAATAAGGTAGTTGTTGATGCTGAAAATGATAAGAATTGAGATTGCTTTTGCGAAAAGTTGTAGATGTTGTTGAATATAATATCCTAAGAGAGTAGAATGAACTTACTTTCTTCTCCGACCGTCATCCTAGGCTCGTTAAGGCTATTTCAGGCCTTCTATTATTATTTTTTTTTTTATAGTCATCATGCTTTATATCTAAAACATTTGGTGGATAACTTAAAAAAACAGGTACGTTCATTTCTTAGAAATTTTTATGTTCAATGTTAAGTTTGTTAATATGGTTTTTATTTGCACCAAATCACCCGTAAATATCCATAATATAATAAAAAGGCAAGAAAATCGGTTTTTAAAAAGTTGTGTATGCTTCTACAGGGTTAGAGTACGAGCATAATATTTAAAAAATAGTCGAGGAAATTTCCCCTAGCGAGGAAATTCATTGTCTAATCTCAACCACAGTGTTGGGCTAATGTTTTGTTCCATGGAAATTGCTGGAGTATAATTAACAGCAACATCGTTGAAGTCTTGGAACAATTTGGTGAAATCAGCATGCTCGATGCCTTTGGTTGGAATTGTTGACCTTATTCATCAACAAATAATGAAGGTAATGCATAAGAGAAGGAATATGTCACTACACATGTCGAGGTCAAGGTTGTGCCTCAAGTCAGAGACCAAGCTATCAAAGAACTATTTAGCCTCTCGATCCTTACATGTGGTGAGATCATCTAACTCGGCGTTTGAGGTCATAACTGATGAGGGCAATTCATCGTACATCTTCTACGCAATGCGTGATCATGAAATGAATGACAGTTGTATCGTATATCATACAAACATACTTGTGCTTGTATTGTAGAATTCAAAGCCTCGATATATGACTACTGTGGTGATGCTTACTTTGTGCATTTGACCTACAAATTTGCAACCATCTCCATTCAAACCACTTATTTGAGTACATATGAGATTAGAGGCAATGGCGTAATAAATACTTCAATAGTGCAACCTGGAAGTAGAAGAACGAAAAGAATCCCATCAAAAGTGGATATTCACGTCAGAAAAGTTGTGGTAGAACCGGACATAACCACCGAACGTGCAAAGAAGCTCCTTTTTAGATTCCAATTGAAAAGCTTCTTATTGTTTATAAATAGATATAACTTTGTATTATTTATAAGTTATAATATACCAGAACTTCAATCTTTGTTGGCAATTGAAAAGCTTCTTTACGGAGAATGAAAAACGTGTTTAAACCAAAATATTATATTTAATGTTAAAAAGTGCATATTTCTACCTATATACATTGATTAATCGTATGTATCTATATGCATATACACTATAAATAACTCTGTTTTTAGCATAAACGTATGTTCCGTTGAAAACAGATAATTTTTATAAAATTGGTTGTTTATAGCGGAAACAAGGAGTGTTTGCGCGAGCTTGTGGAAACATCACTACACAATTACACGAAAAAAAAAAGGAAAATCATTACACAACTGCACATTTATTTCACCAGTTTTCTGGAGATCATGAGTAAAAAATTTTTTTAATGAAATATGTTTCATTCTATCTCCCTTGATATATCATTCTTTCAGTTGCGCTATACAAGTTGCATTATCTTCGTACAAAATAGTAGGAGGATTATCATTTTTAGATTTCAAACCACAATTCTGTAAAATGTGCTGAATCATTAATCTTAATCAAACACACTTTCCACTAGCCTCATGAATTGCTATTATTTCTGCATGATTTGAAGATGTGGCGGTTAATATTTGTTTAGTGGATCTCCAAGATACCACTGTACCGCCACAAGTAAACATATCGTCAATCTGAGACTTGGTTTTATGAGGCTCAGAAAGACACCCAGCATCTGCATATCCAATCAATTTATGTCGAGATC